TCATCATGGGATGCTTTCAGAGAGAACATTAGATGAAGCCACATTAAATCAATAAAGAGACTGAGTGATACATCAAGTAATAAATTAAGATACAGTAAAATTATTTGTGACACTGCTTGATTAGCACACATTCCATGTGAGATCCTCCAGAGATAATACAACTTTACCTTCACCTCTGCAAAAAATGAACTCTGTTCAGTGCAGCATCACAGCATTAATTTACTCCAACTTAGAATTATTTTCTCCTAGAAAAAACAACTGTGAAGCCAGATGCTTCATCCAAAATGCATCCCAAATACAGAAAAAAATGTCAGTGGTCATGGTGAATGAGGAAAAGTTTAGTAATCAAATCTTACAGCTCTTAGATGTATAAACAGATGGCAAGGCATCTCAGCAGGTGTTACTACCAGCCCTTTGGCAAGACAAAACCTCTCAGTGGACATTAAGCCTACTATCACAACTATTTGAGATAATGCTTCAATATCCTCTATCAAACCTCCCTTGCTAGAATACTTCATAATATATTTTAGAATCACAATCCTGGAACTAAAAGAAATTGTTCTGAATTTTGGATTTCACAAAGCCATAATCACAACTGAAAAACAATTAAAAAAGAATTTGACCGTCAAGTAAGTGCAGAACGTCTCACTGGTTCCACATCATCTAAAAGGCAATGAATAAATAAAGCTCCTGTTTCAAACACTATTGGTTATGTTGAAAACATGAGCCAGAAAATGAAAACTAGACTCAAAACCCCCTCTCCTAATAATGCACTTTATGCCTAGATTTACATGAAATGGATCAAAAGGGTTTTCATCCTTATCTTTGTTACATGGAACTGCATCCTGCACTTTTTACATTTTATGTGGTTTAGCTATGAATTTCCATGTTTCCTGGACACAAGTTAATTACAGATTGTGTGAAGTACTACTTCTTATTGTTTTAAGAATCTCTTTCATTTTCATGGAATCTTTCTTATCTATATAAAACAAAAAGTTAGTTAACCCTAATTTCCCGCCCCAAGTTTTTATTCAGTAAATTTTATTATAAGTTATTATAGATTCCAATTGTCATTCATATTTAATGGACAGAGGACTATTCCATTTTTCAAAGTCAGGCAACATCATGTTCTTGTTTCTTTTACACATGAAACTCAAATTAAATCTGAGTTCCAGTTTATCCTGTTGGATGAACAACTAATTGCAGTAGTGTGTTGTGAAGTGAGTTTTACTGGGATCTTTGCCACCTTTACCCAAAGTTCTCATACGCAATGCCCAGTCACTGCTGAAAGGACTCTCCTCTGCAAGTGCCCTCCTGAAGGCACCCAATGCTAGGTCAGATGGAGATACCTGATCGGTGCTGGCAGTACCAGAGATACTGTCCACATGACTGGCTATCTGACAGGTCAAAGTTTGGGTGCGTTTGTTTGCCCACATCACTAATTTTTTACATTATAAACTACATGACGAGTTAAACAGAACAATATACCGATCAGGGTCTTCAACCCACAAACCAGTTTCAAGGTCAACCAAGTTACGGAGATTCATACATGCACGCAAAAGTGCCCATTTTTTCTGGTCTTCCATAAGTGTGGAACACAAAAGTTATGGAAATGCATTTAAGATAGAATAAGATTTCAGCTGCTATTTGGCTACCCTCCAAAAATACGCAACTCGCCCTCCCAGCAAACAAAACAATAGAGAATTGAACCTTAATTAGAATTTCTGAAACTGGAGAGGGCAAATTTTACATAACTCATGTCATTGTCTTTTATGATGAAATGGTGCCTCTGTGGATGAGGTAAAGGCAGAGGGTAATATTTACCTTGATTTCTTCTGGAGTATCCACTTGGGTTCTTATGGCATCCCTCCAGCCAAATGTAAATGTAACTGGGTTGAAAGACTAAGAGGTAGGTATACATGGCATGTAGTTGGCTGGACTCTCAGGATCAAAAGACTTGCAAATCAGTAGTTTGAAACCTTACTGACAGCTAGTTATATTCCTCAAGGAGCTTATTAGGGCTTATGCTGTTTGACACACTCAGTGATCTGATTGGTGAGTTGGAATGTATCCTCAGCATGCGCATGATGTGAAACCAGGGAAGTGACCAGCATGCTGGAGGACAGGGCTGCTGTGTGAATGGCCTGATAGGACAAAGTTTTCCACTCAGGACAAAACCCCATGAAATGCTGTAGGCTGGGGACCGACTGATGAGATGGTAGCTCTGCAAAAAGGGACCTGTGGGTCCAGTTAAAACCTGGAACAAGGGTCAACACTGCAGCTTTGTTCTAATTAAGGTTAATCACGTGCCATGCTACATTAACAAGCATACAGCCAGCAGATGAAGGGCATTTATTATTTTCCTCTATTTAGCATTTGTGAGGCCAGCATCTGCAATACTGTGTCCAGTTTTGGATCCTAAGCATGCTAGACACTTAGAAGATGAACAGTATCCAGATGAAGGTAACCAAGCTGGTTCCAGGGATTGGAGCATGTGACCTAAGGAGAGGTTAAAGGAACTCAGATTCTTTATCTTGGAGAACACTGAGGGCATTTTTTGGAGGTGAATAGGGGAAGGAGAACAGAAAATGGCCCTGGCTGGATTTCAGGTGCCCTCCAAAGCCTCTCTATCCCCCCACTCCTCAACTGGACAAGGGAGGTAAAATATAATGAAAGCTCATGAGTTGAGCTAAGGACAGGGAGAGATCCCTTGGCAAAACAGATCCAGCTTGGAGAAATTAATTGAATTAATTAGCAATCAAAATCAAAGTAGGATAATGAGAAGTAAAATTAATCTTAAAAACATTCTTCCCACACCCCTCTCTCCTTCCTGGGTTTAACTTTATTTCCAATTCTCTACCTCCTTCGCACCAGCAACAGAGCGGGATAGGGAATGGGAGTTATGTCACATTGTTTCTGCTGCTGCTTCCTCATCAGAGAGGAGTCCTTCTCCTGCTCAAACATGAGTTCTTCCCACAGGTTGCAGTTCTTTATGAACTGCTGCAGCATGGGTCCTTTTTTCAATTGAGTGTCAGTCCTTCAGGAACAAACTGCTCTAGTGTGGGTCCCCCCTGGGATCACAATTCCTGCCAGCAAACCTGCTCTAGTGTGGACTCCTCTGTCCACAGGTCCTGCCAGAAGCCTGCTCCAGTGTGAGCTTCCCACAGCCTCCTTTTGGCATACACATGCTCCACTGTGCTGTCCTCCATGGGCTGCAGGGGCACAGCTGCCTTAACATGGTCTGCACCATGAGCTGCAGGGGAATCTCAGCTCTGGTCTCTGAAGCACTTCCTTCACTGACCGTGGTGTATGCAGGGCTATTTCTCACATATTCTCACTCCTCTCTTCTCTGGTCACAATTCTTCTGTGCAGTAACTTTTTTCTTTCTTAATTTTGTTATCACAGAGGTATTACATTGCTGACTGGCTCAGCCTTGGCCAGGGAGCCGGCTGGCATTGGCTCTGTCAGACACATGGGAAGCTTTCAGCATCTTCTCAGAGAAGCCATCCCAACCACCAAAACCTTGCCATGCAAACCTGACACAGGCTATAAAGTGCAAATAGAGAAACTTTGATTGGATTAGAAGGGGAAAAAAATCACATTGAGAGTGGCTAAACACAGAAGCACAAATACAACCAAGAGATTCTAAACTTCCATTGCTGATTTATGATTTTCAGATTGCTTTTCTCTTTCTTATTTTTTAATCACTCAATAAAATTATATTGCTGACAAGGCTACCAGTGTTCATAGCAAATAACAAACACACAAAGTTAAGCAGCTTATTACTCTACTATTTCAGCCTTTATAGCACAGTGGCATGAGAGAGAATGGTAGATAATCTTCGAATCTAATCTTCACATCACCTGGGAGATGTGAAATGTTAAGTCTCTGAGTTTGATACTTCTTGGTCAAGTACAACAGTCAGTAGGCAGTTGTGCAGAACTAGAGCTGACAGCCATGTTCCTTGCACTTTGTTACCCATGAGTTTTACCAAAATGCTCTATATATGGGCTGAGTGCAGCTGCAGGGCTGGGGAGACTTTAAGCCTCTTCCACTCTGTGTCTAAAACAAACAGAGATCAGGAAATAGCTAAGCTCAAGGTGAGACCACCTCTGCATATATGTAGAGACCCAAACCCAGTGTTTGGTTGTCTGACATAAAGGTTTCAACTGACTTCTGTTGTACTTCAGAGTTAAGATGCTACTTGGCACTTGGCTGTTTGAAACTATTCTCCAACACTTGAGGTATTCCCAGTTTATTAACCAAAACCCAAGTGCAATTTATGGAGTCTGAATTTGTCCTTGCGTTGCTTTGGAAAAAGAAGTCTGATTAATGAAATGAATGTCCATGTTTTCAAAGAAGACATTATTGTGTACAAATGGATGGCCACAGATGGTAAGGTCTCTCCATGTCTGATTTGAGAAAGTGTGAGACATCTTACTCTAAGACAGACTGTAATCTGACTTGGAACTTTGCCTGAAACCACAATCCTGTCTCCATTAAGAAGGGATGCTATTACAAGCCAGAGCTTGACAGATTGTTTCCATATTAGTACCATTACTTAACATTTTTTTCTGTAACGATGTGCTTATTCTTTACATTTCCTTACAGGTTTTCCTTAAACAGCAGCAGCTTTTCCTTACGTGCAAGAAAACTTAATCGCATCCTTTCCCTTGGCAAAAACTGGGAGTATTACCTTCCCATCAACCCAAGCTGCCCACAGAAGGGCATTAAAGGAGCGCAGGACTAAGCAGGCTCTCTGTGGAAACGTTATCTGGAGACAACCGCTGCCTGGGCACCGACATCCTCTTGGCGATATTTGGAATATAGATCACACAATTCTTTCTCTGATAAGGAGTTTTTCCTCCAGGTGTCCAAAAAATTGATTTATCTTTTTCGTGTGTTTTTTAGAACTGGGGATCTAGTTTGTATTTGTTTGGGGTGTTTGTGTGTGTGTGTTTAAACTGTAACAGCACAGACCACGCTGGCAGGGGACAGAAATGCCACCTCAAGTGGTGGCGGCTGCTCCCACTGGTGTCCGAGTAGCGGTGCCCTCAGGGCAGCCCTGTACATCACGGGTGTACGCGGGACCAGCGCAGGCCTTTCCCCCACGCAGGGACAAAGACGGCGCCGGTTCCCACCGCCCGCCGGGCCAGCCCTGCGGCAGGCGCTGCGCCTCAGCCCGCCCCTGCGGCCCGCTCGGCGCGGCAGCACCGACCCTCCTCCAGGCCCAGCCCCCGCCCCGGCCCCGGCCCCGGCCCCGACCCCGGCCCGTCCGGGCCCGCCCGCCCCGGGCGGCACCTGTGCGGCCGGACGGCGCGGCGCCTGCGCACTGGGCGGGCGGTCGCCGCCAGGGCCGCAGTCACTTCCTGCCCCCGTGCCCATCCGGCTCCGGGGTCAGCGGTCGTCGCTGTGGCGGGACAGCGGCGAGTAAAGTTTAATTCGGGGAGGGAGAAGCCGCCCGTCCTCTCCAGGTAGGGCCGGCCCGCCGCTCCCGCCGCGCCCGCTCCATCCCGCCCGGCGCCGCTGTCACCTGCGGCCGCGCGCCTCTCCCGCGTGGGCTCGCGTGGCGGGCGCGCCCGACTCCGGCTGCGGCACCGCCCGGGAGAGACCGGGAGAGATCGGGAGAGCCCAGCCCGGCCCGGCCCGGCCCGGGGCCGCCGCCGCCGCTGGGGCTGCCGGGGCGCGGCTGTGCTCCCGCGGGAGCGAGGGACCCCCTCCCGGCGGCGGGGCTGCGGGACGAGCCTGCGAGGTGGGAATGGGGCGCGGCGGGAGCTGCCCGCGGAGGGGCCGCGGGGCCGGGCCGGGCTCGGGGCAGGGCGGCGGCCGGGGGCTCTCCCGGGGCCGGGCGCAGGTGGGAGCGGGGCCGAACTTGGCGCGGTCGTTGCAGAGGGCGGTGTGGGACCTGCCGATAACAATGGGAACTTTTCCTGCGCCGAGGGTGCCGCTGCCTCCGGCCTGCCCGGCCCCGCCGCCGCAGGGTGTGGGTGTGCGGGGTTAGCGCTCTGCTGAGCCGCCTGTACTTCGGCCGTGACAGCTAATCTGCTTATTTCAGCAGAAGCGAGCTGCTGGATGTAGATTAAAAGTGGGTCGTGCGCACGGAAAATGCCTTTAAGGGACAAGTGTTGTCAGACTGACCACCATCACCATGGATGCTGTGAGCCAGGTACAGTACTGTGTGATTGCTTCGGCTGTTTTGCATATCCCCTTCTTTTAAAGCTCGCAGAAACCGTTGTGATGGTTGCAAATGTGGATCGTTAGTGTCACTTCTGGATATAAAAAGTTTTTGAATTTTGTTTGGAAATGTTTTTTGGTATCTGTGAACTGTCACTTCAAAAGTATTTCAGGAAGAGAATTTTTCAGTTCCTGCAGGATGTGCAGTAATTCCCGGGCCACCACGTGGGCATTGTATGTAGTGAGCAGAGGAAGACAAGAAGCTGTGTAAAACAACGGGTCTTTTTGCTTCAAAAAAGTGCAGTGTTCCGAATTTTTTGTAAAATTATGTTTCTAGCCATCTCTTACATTCATTGTTTACATTTTTACTCTGTGTCTTCTTTGGTGAGCTCTGATGAAGATCTTATTCTCAGAGAAGAAAAAACCCACCATGTCCTGAAATGGCTGTTTGCATTCCACTGCTGTGAATACTGTAGAGGTTCAACCAACCTGCTAGATTTTTTTGAGATTGTTCTGCCTACTGTTACAGTTGGTATCCTTAAAGGAAATGTAATTTCTTTAATTAAATGTAATTTGAGAGTAGTTATTGTTCAGTTAGTAGAATAATCTCTTTGTGTTGAAGATGAAATGGTTTTGAGTTATTCTAAAGCTTTAAACAAGCACTTTTCTTGCCTGACAAATTAACAGTGATGTGTTATGTCTGCTTCACCTGCATTACTCCTGTAGGTGTCAGTGGGTGTTATACATGCATATTAGAGGCAGTATGCAAACCAAAAGATATTATTTTCAAGTACAGGGAGTAGGCTGGTGGAATACAATATGTCATTGTGTTACAGAACCTCAAATGATTGGCTGATTTATAATAGTTGTTATGAGTGTTTTTCTTTCTATGTTCTTTTCAGTTTGAATTTATTTATAACCTTACATCTTTTAACTCAACTCTCCTGTCATGATTTATTTACTCTTTAAATGGTAAATCTGCAAATAGTTTTATACTATGCCTCTACTGCTCTTTATTAAGAAAAAATTTCGTAGAAATGCTCTGTGCTTCATTTAGAAAATGAAACCTTAAAATGGGGTTAAAGTCAAACCAAATGGATAAGGTAAGAGCCAATATATGAAGTACAAAGCCAACTGTTTTGTTAATAAGTGAAAAAGAAGACCTAAGTAATGATTTTGCAAACAAAAAATTTGGGTTTCTCTCTGGACAAAGCTTACTTGCGATATGCATATACAGCAGTGGAATGCTATTAATTTTCATATTATTGCATATTGGAATAACTAATAATCATGCTGATCAAACATATTTTCCCTTCGATAGCTTTTACAAAGAATATGATATGGAATGAAACATCAGAAATAAGATATTACTTCAGTTTGCTTGAACCAGAATAATTTCTTGAATATGGTTTTGTTGGTTAAAAATATTATGATAACTCTTTTTGGTATATGCTGTGTGGTTCTGCTTGTGCTTTTTTACTGATCATTGCTACGTTAAATTTGGATTAATTGTTTAGATGTGTACTAGCAACATGGAAGTCGTATAGTATGCTGTGAAGTACAGTATTGGTAATGCTTTTCTGTACCTTGTTTTGGTTTTAGCAATGGGAGTCCAGATTGTTCTAGGGAACTACTTTAATTGACAGAAATTTCTAGTGAGTTAATTTGGTTTTATATATTTATATGTTTTTGTGTTTGCTACAAGTAGCTTTGAATACATGTTTTCTTTAAATAGTCAAAATTACAGAAAACCTGTCAGAAGGTATGATGGCTGCAAAATTCAGTATTTTTTAATTCAATCTAGATGAAAATTCTAGAATAAGACTAATTTTACTATAGTCCTGGCCTTTCTTTTTATTTAGTTTACTGTATGTGTGGAAAATTCGTAACTTACAGGAATCACCTGAGTGTTCTCTAATAGCTTATTATCCTTTTAAATATTTCAGTACATCTGTTGGAACCTGGTGATCCTCCATTACTGCAGCAGCCTCTGCAAACGTCAAAATCTGGCATTCAGCAAATCATTGAGTGTTTTCGATCAGGTACGAAACTATGCCTGACTCTGAAAAAGTTCCTTACCTTTTTGTAAGAGTTATGTATATTTAATATATTAAAATAACCAACACCCAACTTCCTGTGTGTTGGCAAACTATTTGCAGATTTTTGGAATTAGGTGTTCCTTTTAATAAGAGTTTTCATATAAAGTAATGAAGAAACATCTATCAAAAACATTAAAAATTACTTTGTTGTGCTGTGTTGTTCCTGTGTTGTGCTTTGTTAGTGTCACTTCTCCTGCTTTTATTAATGACTTTATGATAAAGCTGCTGAGATAATACAATTTAAGAAGTTCAAGGTAAAGTTTTCTCTTTATCATGTTACTTATAAGGTGTTTCTTCAAGGTGATTTGTTTTTGGGAGTTGCAATACATGGCAATGAATCTAAGAACAACAACTGAGCATTTTGGGGGAGCATCCCAGAGATGATTGAAATGTTTAATGTTTTCTAGCTGTTTCTCCACTTCTGATATGGCAGACCAAACATTTTATTTTCATCACCCTTGGTCCTTATTGCTACTAAGACTACGTGTTGATTTTTCCACATAGAGCTGTTAAGTATATGAAATGTGTCATGTACTGACACATCCCATTGCTGCTGTGCAATGGGATACATATCTGGTCTGAGTCTTGTAAAAGGGCACAGTATTTAACTTGTCCACTAGCATTTCAACAACTTAATACAGAAACTGGATGTGAGGTTATTCATTAGTGATATTTTTCAGTTTGGCTGAGGTTGCCTGAGGCCTCAGCTGCCTGTGACAGGCTTCTTTCACTTGAAGCAGATCAGTGTAATCCGTACTGGTAATAACACAAACTAGTTGCAGGTATTTTGTCTCTGGGGTACTTCCAGATTGTCCTCACTGGCAGGAGTTGAATTGATAGCTTACTTTGATGTCTTCAGTCATCTCCATCAGGAAAGTTGGACAGAAGGCAAAAGGACTTAGACTAAGGTTTCTGGTTGGTTTTGAACAAGCAGCATTTCATTATGGAGAGAGAGCGTTTTGACTCTTGTGGTACAGAAATAGAGACTTAAGAAATTTTATCAAAAGCTTCTGTCACCCAAAGCATTAAGAATATCAGGTGAATTTGAATCTATTTTTCTCTTCTAAAAAAAAGAAATTGTTTGCTAAAGGCATATACTTTGGTATTTCTAAGAGAGAGGTATTTGTTATGATCAATGTTCTCTACTGATTTCTTGTGACTATGATATTATTCTAGCATCAATATTTATGAATATTAACAGAATTGGACAAGGTATCACCACCCCAATTAGATGTAACTACAAAATAGAGGAGACTTCAGTAAGCTGGAGGCAGCATATGCTGGCAGAACTGACCTCTTGTTGCCACAGTCTGCAGTAGGTGAAGAATAAGGAGATGATTTGCTTTTCCTCTGCCTGCTGTGTCCACAAAACCAGTGGATGTTTTAAATCCATTTGCTGTTTTCAGAAGTTCCTAAAGGTCTACAGTTTAATTCAAAAGGACCAATTATTTTTCTACTCCCACCAGTGAAAAGCTTCATAGTTGCATAAGGGTGATTTGAAGCTAGAGTGACTACTGTGTCATGTAGTGTGACTTTCAGTATCTCATAAATCCTTTAATCTCATCCAGTAATTCTTTAACCCAGTAATTTGTATTGGAAAAAAAACATTTCAGTGCTGAACAGAAGGAGACTGAAATATCACTGTAATAGGATAGAGAATGAGGAACTTTTGTGTCCCTCAGTTGTGAAGTAATGGAGAATTTGATGATTTTTTTTCTTCTTTTTTTGGGAGAGGGGTTTGTGGCTAGAGTGTGCATGAATAGCATGAGTGAATTCTGGTTTACTGTGTGCTGTCACCAAATCGGAAGCATTTTGTTTGAAATATAGTTTGGTATGAATTACAGTTTGGTATGTCACAGCGATTTTATTTACATGGAGCATCTTCAATTTTGTTCAGACAGGTTTTTTCAGTGGTTTTTTTTATATGCAAAAATTCAGATGATTGTTGTTGAGATATGAGTAAACAACTTGCTTTTGGGGGGAACTCTCTACAATTTTTGTTTGTTGCTATATCTAAATATTTGTCCAGTAGTCTGTTTGTAAAAATGCAGGTCAAATGAAGGTGACGTTAGGAACGCTAAAAGAAAGAGCAGTGAGAGGTGGCCCAGGAAGGCACAGGCAAGGACAAAAACTGGATCGTAGTCTCAGATGGTCAAGTTTGGGTTCCATTTTTAAACACCTGTTGAAGAAGACAACGACACTGTGCTTTGCTAAAAATTAGATGTAAAACGTTTTGTAGTACTACTGCACTAAGAAATAAAGTTTTCTTGGTAAGGCCTATTAGTATGGAAGAACTGCTAGGTAATATGAAATTATTAATATTTTAAAGTTTCATTCAGAAAATAGTTCTGCAGTGTGACTGAGTTTGGTCTTTAAAAGGAAATTTTAAGACAAGTGTATGTGGTGATAGAGCACTTGAACTTGTATTTCAGTTTGAAGAATGTCTTGCTGCTGTTTCATAGGTGTCTGATATTATTTATTCGTGGTCCAGTTTTATTATATTTTTGCTTGTTTGATTAGTTTTGATTAATTCAATTCTAAGAAAAATCAAGATTTTTCTTGATTTTAGAAAATTAGAAATTAGCTGAATCTGGTTAGTGTTTGTTTTTTTTTTTCTAATTTGGAATGGGTAAGTATTCATCATTTAGTAATCCATTGCTGACTGTAGGCATTACTTTCATAATTTTCGTGAGGTGAGAAATGAAGGAGAAGTTTGAAGTGTAAAAACCGATATTCTTTATTTCTGTAAGCATGGCAGGAGCTGGAATACATTAACAATGTTAGATCTAATTATCTTAGATGCAACTTATAATAGTCTCAAACTGGCATATGTTTTAACTTAAATCTAAAACTTCTTTATTATCTGTATTTTCCTTTCATTGGGCTGAAAATATGTTTACATATCTACTGTATCACCTAAGCATCGTCATCTTGGTATTGGGTCAGATACCTAGGTGCAGTAACATTTCTTCACCTGTTAGTTATTCTCTGCTTTATTTCATGCTTTAGTTTTTTGCCTTACCAGATGCTGTTTTTCTGTGAAATAGCTGTATACATCTTGTTTTCTTAGCACTGTTGGGTAACCCTAGACAAAAAAATACTACAGGCTTCCTTAAATGCTCTAAATGCTTATTCCTTCCCGTTGGAAAATTGTATTGCAGCAACCTAATACTGTAGTGTGGACTCTTTCCTAATGTCAGCTGTTAGTTTTTATCCTAAATCATTGCACTTCCCTGTAAACTGTAATGTGCGTAATCCTTGAGGGATTTTTTATCCTAGTCTTGTTTTCATAGTGAAATTTGGAGTATGTACCATAAACTTATAGTACTATGAAGTAACATTAGCAGAAGATAAAATTCTATTATAATTATTCATGTTTTAAAATGTTTCCACTTTCATGGGATGATGGGAATTAAAAGATGAACAGAAAACCTTCCCTAAGTGTAATATTTTCTTTATTACAGGAACGAAACAACTTAAACATATCTTGTTAAAAGATGTGGACACCATTTTTGAGTGTAAACTGTGCCGGAGTCTCTTCAGAGGATTACCAAATTTAATTACTCATAAAAAGTTTTATTGTCCTCCAAGTCTCCAGATGGATGATAGTAAGTCTTACTAATTGAAATATTTAATAAAGCTATATGAAATTGGAAAAATTATCTTTCTTTACCATTTATACGAACACATCTGAAGCAAAAATGCAGAAGAAAAGGTGGAGTTAAATTTCAGTAATAACATATGTAGATCACTTTTATGCTATTGAAGAAGTTACAGCATTGACTTTATATGACTTAAAAACTGAGACCCATGCCAATGTCGTAATTAGATAGGTAGTTTATACATCCAACCTTTAATTAAGAGTGTCACTTTTAACACTTTCTCTTTCCATTTCAAGTCTCATTCCAGTGATGAATTTTGTTGAAGCTGATTAATTTGAAAATGTGTCAGTATTCAAAAATGTTTTGTAAAGCTTTCTAATTATTTTGATTTCCTGACTAGATCAGCATAGGTGCAATGAGGATTTTGCTTTCCTGATTAATGCCTTCCTGCCTCAATATTTAGAAAACTGGGAACAGATATACTTAGGTGACTTTTCCCTCGTAGTGCCAGCTAGTGCTGTGAAGGAGAAGGTGAAAAGACTTAGTAATGTCACCTCCCTAAATACATGTGCTTGGCTAGCTAAGAGAGTCACAGAGCTTCTCTGTGAAAAGGGATGACTTGTATTTTCAAAGCAAGGTTAGAAGTGCATCTGACTTAGATGCAATAGTTGCTAAGCAAAATAAGATAACCCTGAGGAAACACTTCATGTCCAGCTCTTGCTATTCTAGCCATTGGCTGATTAACTTTCATATGTTTTATGAAGTAACGTAAAAATAACATACTCACTGTTCACTATGAGAGGTGAAAATAAAGGGAATAATAATACATGCTCTGAATAAAACTGTATAAATACTTATGTTTTCTATAAAATTGAGTACAATTATTATTGAATTGACAGTTTTTTTCAATAAATAAAAGATAGGGAACAAGAAGCAGGAATAAAAGTTCAGCACCCCAGGGTAAAGAATTGCAAAGACTATTCCCTGATAACTTTTTTGAGATGCATTCATTTAGTATAGTCATGAAGTAGTCTTAAAAAATGCTATAAAATAGGAAGGACTTTTTACTCTTGGTAAAAATTATATGGATAGCCCCATCTGAAACTGACTGCAAAAGCTATTAAAAATTCAGTGTTAAAAGATGGGTCCTGAGCAACAAAAGAGCATATTTCTTGTACTGACACTCTTTTTATATATTGCTGAGAGTGTGGAAGGAATAACTGACTGAGTGTGGGTTTTTAATTAGCTGTTACCAGGAATCACATCTTTAAAATTATCCACAATGATTTGAACTGTGTCATTTCGGTGCCTCACCTTTTTACTGTAGCACCCTGGCTTCCTCTTTTATGCTAGTGCAGATGCTTCTTGTATTATGCTGGGAACTAGATCACTGAACTAATTTGCTATTTAAAAACAGAATATTACTGAGCCCTGATAAATAGTATCTACTGATGTCTTCATGCAATGCTCAGGTTACACAGATGTTTCATTCTTTGTAAGGATTGTTCAGAATTCACAGTGAAGAGCTTATTTCTGGAATTAGGTTCCTTTATTGAGAGTGCCTGTTTCCAGTAGTAGGAAAATCGATTTCTAATGATACTTCAGGCTTAGTTGCGCACCTGCAGAACAAGCTCAGTCAAACGATGTTATTTTTGCAATTGATGCAGATTTTTAAAGACCAGCTTAATTCTGAGCATACAAATTTTTGGTTCAGGTGGCTTTTGCATTAGCACGCTAGAAGGGTATATTTTCAATGCTGGCTTTTAATAAAAAAGTAACTTGTAATGATTACTCAAAACCTCTGAGTGTTCAGAGAGTACAAATACAGGATTTGTGCAAATTTGGAGGCTGAATTCACACAGTATTTAAAAGCTACTTTGAAATTTTAATAATTGGAAATTACCAGATCATTAAAACATACTTTTTTCTCTTTTCACAGACCTCCCAGATATAAAAGATAAGCAGAGTCAAGCCATAAATAACCTTCTTGAAGCCATCTATCCACGGGTAGATAAGCAAGAATATGTGATTACATTGGAACCTATAGAAACTAATCAAAATGCTGTATTTCAATATGTGTCAAGGACTGATAACCCAGATGAGAACACAGAAAGTAGCCATACCCCTGATCAAGCTCCAGTACAGGTACAGGAAGCCAGCACTGAGCAACCCAAGACTGTTTCAGCTCCAGCGCCAGTCCTAGCTGGGGAGACAGTAGAATTACCTCCTGCTGATCCTGTTACAAACAAGGTGATACCTACTCCTGAAGAACAGCCTCCAGCAGTAAATCCCGAGTTGGACTCTCTGGATAATTCTGATTATGGCCACCAGTTGATTTGTTGCCTTTGTAGGAAAGAATTTCATTCAAGACGCAGTGTACGCCGGCACATTCGAAAAGTGCACAAAAAAAAGATGGAAGAGCTAAAGAAGTACATAGAAACAAAAAAGAAACCTAACCAATGCTCTGCAAAAGGACGAAATAAGAATGTTCTTGTAGCATTAGGTAGAAGTTGTCCTGTATGTTATAAGTCGTTTGCTACAAAAGCCAACGTAAGGAGGCATTTTGATGAAGTTCATAGAGGATTAAGGAGGGATTCCATTACTCCTGATATAGCTACCAAGCCTGGGCAACCTTTGTTCTTGGATACAGTTTCTGCTAAAAAATCTTTTAAGACCCGAAAACAAAAGTCATCTGCAAAGGCTGAATACAATTTAACTGCATGCAAGTGCCTTCTGTGCAAGAGAAAATATAGTTCACAAATAATGCTGAAAAGGCACATGCAAATTGTTCACAAGATAACTCTTTCTGGAAAGAACTCTAAAAGAGAGAAAGGACCCAACAATACTGCCAATGGCACAGAAATAAAAGTTGAATCAGCGGATTCTGTAGAACCTTCACCCCCTTCCATTGCTCTTTCTCCACAGCATGAATTAAAGGGAACAAATCATTCAAATGAGAAAAAGAACACACCGTCAGCACAGAAAAATAAAGTTAAACAAGACCCTGAAAACCCTAAATCAACTTCCAAATCAACCACTAAATCAACCTGCAAATCAACCACTAAATCAACCTCTAAATCAACCAATGCATCTGCTGCAGGTGGCCAGCAAAAAAACAGGAAACCAAAACTTTCAGCTGGCTTTGACTTCAAGCAGCTTTACTGTAAACTCTGTAAACGTCAATTTACTTCTAAACAGAACTTGACAAAGCATATTGAATTACACACAGATGGAAATAATATTTATGTTAAATACTACAGGTGTCCACTCTGCTCTTACGAAACGCGTCGCAAACGTGATGTGATAAGGCATATAACTGTGGTTCATAAAAAGTCACCACGCTACCTTGGGAAAATAACTGCAAGTTTAGAAATTAGGGCAATTAAAAAGCCAATTGATCTTGTTCTAAATAAGGTGACAAAAAGGGGCCCTCAGAGGGATGAAACAAAACAGATTGGTTCAAAACAGGATGTCACCTCTAATTCTCCCAGTAAAAAGTATGAAGGAGCTGATGTTGGCATTGAAGTAAAAGTAACAAAAAACTTTTCTCTGCACCGATGCAATAAATGTGGGAAAGCATTTGCCAGAAAAGCTTTTCTAGAACATCATAAGAAAACCCACAAAGCAAATGTATCTCATTCACCTGAAGAAAATAAAACCAAAGGCAGAAGTACAAGATCTAAAGCTGTTGTCTGGTGAGGAAAAAGAAAAAGTGTTTTGTCTTTTTTTTTGTCTTTTTTTTTTTTTCTTTAAACCCCAACAATACCACTGCATTTCTTTTACTGTTGTTGATTTATTACCAAAAACATGGATTTTCCCATGGATTTTATGGTTTAGTCGCTTAAACGCAAAGCTAGATGTCAAATTTGTTTCTTATATTTTGGTTTTAGCATTTTGGAAAAGAGTTAAAATCTAAATTTGTGATTGTAGGAAGCTTGGAATATACATTAAACTGTATTGAGTCAACTCCTTAAATTGTCTTAAGCATCTGTTGTAATCAAGCTAGAATTTTTTAAATCGTAATTTTTTTAAAATAACAATGTTTTTGTTTGGTTTGGATAACATAACTTTTTAATTAATTTCATTGTGACCAGCTGAAGAAGTACTAAAGGTACTACAGTAAAAGCTATTAAATGTCTATGAACTTATTGGAATTAGCATTTGGGAATTTAATATTTATTTTTTTAATTTTAATGTGTATTGACTCTGTCAACAAAAGTGCATAGAACAGTTTTTTGAATGTAATTTGATTGCTTAATTGCTTTGATTTAAATAATTATGGGTTAGGTGCCTGGAAACACCTTTGAAACCATCAAATTTAGGATTTCATTCTTTTAATGCTTATTTATATAAGCCCAGGTTTGGAAATTACTGGTCATTTATTTGTTAAAATTGGGGTTTTTTAAGCATCAAAACGTATAAAAGTATGGCCAAGAATTTTCTAAACTTATGCTTCTATGGCACTCTGGGAGTTTTTTACATTTGGAGGGGTTGTATTTGTAGTTTCTCTGTTTTCCATAGCCTTCATGTTAAAGGTGGCCTATTTTTAAAGGGCTTATTATAAAAGGAAATATTCGTATGCGGTCAGTTTGTATTTCAGAGTGACCGACTGATGCCTGAGAGTTGGGGGATTGTACAAAAAGTTATAATGAAGAGAGATAGTACATGTGATACACGGATACTTGTAAGAGTTTTTAACATCCTTATTCAGAATTATCTTTCTAGCATATTTGGTAAAAATAAAACCAAGTATATGTGCCTTGTTCTGTATTTCAACTCTGAAATGCTGTTTTCCAGGAGGTAATTTGATTTGCGTTCAGCTTTCCTAGTGAATAACCACGCAGATATGTTAAATTGTAATGCAGTGCTTTTGTGGCTTTCTAACAAATCCTGGCTAAGTGGGACAGAACTTCAAAAATTATCTAAGTTGGACCCTGAATTGTGCTGAATTTAAGAATTAAAAATTAGCCCTATAAATTATTTATGTTGTGTAATTTTAAACAGAATTATATGGGTAAACTCAAAGTATTAATTTACTCCCCTCTCTCTTCAGATAGGTTCAAGTGGTGTTTGGAAAGTTTGAACTACACTTGAATGAAAAAGGCTTTTTAATTTGTTTTGGAACGGCTAATTTTTGGTAATGGTACTATAAGGAGGAAGTATTTTCATAAGCTGGTTTTTTTCTTACTATATTAGTAACCACTCTGACTGCCTGTAGGACAGTGCCACCTCCCAAAGCACTGAAATAGTTGAAATGCACATCCATCGAAATTAGCAGTTATCTCTATGCAGTTGTGGTTTGACACGGGATAGAAAAAACTTTCCGAATTTACAAAAAAGTACACCAGAGGCAAGTCAATGAACAGCAGCTTTGGAAGAAGGTTTTTGTTCCTCATTTAGGGAATCATCTTCAGAAAGTTCATCATCCATACTGGTCCTTCCTGGTAGTGCTAATTGATGGACAGCTCAAGCTTTGTGATACCCTACTTTGGTAAATGTTGTGTTATATACTGTTTTAAATTTATTACAAATGAATGTATAAGAGCAAACAATGTAGTGTATATTGGCTGAATTGTACTAATTTTTAGTATTTGCCATAACATCAGTTTGTTCATATTGACTAATTTCCCAGTTCTGGGGCACGCTGAATTTCATGTGCTGAAGTAAGTTCAAAGATCTTCATGTTTCCATATATGGTTCATAGGAAAACTTTGTAAACATCTAGGAAGTTTACAAGAATATCCACATTCCTCTATTCTTTAATTTTTTTAAAAAAAATTATACACAAGCACTTTAATGATAGTTGCAGTTTATTTTTTCAGTTTATTTTTGAAAGATCAACACACTAATGTTAATATGAAGGTAGTGAATATTTGCTGATGTATCATAGACAATCTGTGCACAACCACTTATAATGTTAGCTTATTTCATTAAATATTAATAAAAAGGGAGGATAGTATGGGAGAATCTCAAAATATATTTTCTCTCAAGATCTTAAATGACCACTGTGGGTAGCACTTGACTTTGTGTAATTTGGAAAATGTTTTAGATACCTTTTTTTAACCTTTTAATCAAGATTGTAGTAAAACCAGTCGCATGCCTGTCATTATGAAATTCTTGGCACGTTTCATGTGTCCATGGGTTTGTTTTGTTTTGGTTTTTTGTTTGTTTGTTTGTTGGTTGGTTTTTGGTTTTGTTTTGTTATTTTTTACCTTTTAGAAAATGCTTTGTTTAGTGATTTGTGTCAAATTGTTACAATTTGAAAGGTATTGTACATCGGAAGAAATACCATGTTTTTTATATAGGTTCACTCCCTTACTTAGGGAGGTGCCTCATGTTCATATATACTTTTTGTATAAAATATATCTAAATGTTGATCACAAGATCAGGAGTAAAAATACTTTTATGGATAGAGAACTATTTGGCCCTGTTAGTGCATTGCACTAAAAATACTGTGAATGGGAACTGAGATTGTAGCTGTTGCTCAAAATGTTCTATATTGAATGTACATGCTTTTGTTTGGATAAATGTGCTGTATTTGATGGAAAATAAAGCAGACTGGAAATGATTTTAAGTGGGCATAAACAAAATGATGATATGTTTGTAAACTTGGAATATCTGTCACTCTGCAATCGGAAATTACATTGTTTGCATTTTGTAAAGTTTTATTTGTTGATCACTGAAGCTAGTTGTTTGTAATATTCTGTTGTAATAAATGTGGTTTTTTATTAAAAGTTTGGCACTTGTGGAGTGAACACTTCACACTGATGGTTGACCCTTGCTATATATGTAGAAAACTCTGGCTTTTTATTCCTTATAAAGGAACCTCTTCCTTAACTAAGCAACACTTGTTATTATCCTCTTTAAACAAAATATTAATATTGAAGGAGATAAGCTTTGCTGGGGTGGGTTTTTTTCAAAAGAAATTAGGTTTACCTAGTTTTCCCTGGGAAATAACATTGATGGCCATCTAATGTTCCTTGTTTTCATGGTTGGATATAAGAAAAGAACTTCTATAATAATTGTTTATTTTTTTGTAAAGGAAGACATCGGGCTATTAATGTAACTTCATTTTAAGTCATGTTCCTGAATGCCAGCGAGTAAAGAATAGGAAATTGGAAGCCAAGCATAGTGATGTGTAACTGTTCATTTCTCAGGTATCCTTGTGGTTTCTGCTGACTATTTTGGGTATGTAATCTACATCTTGAAATATGTCAAGGTGAAGTTACTCCTATTCCAAAGGTAAGCCATCTGCTTACCAGCATATTGGATATGAGTGTTTAATTAAGATACAGTCTTGCATCATTGATGGGGCACATTGGTTTGGCTTGTTTTGCTTAGACTAGCCAAAGACAAATGTAGACTCTTTAGTAGACCTTGAGAATTAAGGCTGAGTCTTGTTAAAAGAGTTTTTTATTTAGCATTAATGTGAAATACTTTACAGAAGACTTTTGGGATGATCTAAACATTCTGTATGGAAGTCTGTCCCTTTTTTTTTTAAGTGTTGCATGTCTTCTAAAGCTTGAGGGGCTAGCTTTCAAAGATGTGAAATCTTGCATTATCAACAAGTGGCACCAGGCTTGTCTGAAGTGTTAGATTCTTGAAATCCTTGTAGTGTTTGGTCTCCTCAGTTTTACTGGAGAATAAAGAAATCTATAGCATAGATAGTTGGTGACCATTACCGCCACTTGTTTTTGATTGGATTCTGTTGGGATGAACTTAAAGATACTGTGTGAAGGATTTGTGTGACTGGTTAGGTGCTTGAAATACTTTGACAATGAGAGCAGTTTTGGGTGGTGGCTGAAAGACCTGTGGGCAAGTATTTTACATCATCTTTCTCTTTCGCTGAATAGTGAAATACAACAGTTGGTTAACCACAAAGGTAGACCAGTGTGTTGGCTGGGGGATGAGGAATGGAGAAGAATGGGCCCTCAATGATTATATTGATGGAGAAGCCCTGGTGTTTGCAGTAACAAGGGGACAGCTGGCTGGGGTAAATATTCTCTGCTCATCTTAAGAAGGGGATCAGAGGGGAAGTAATGATGTGGAATATACTTGAGTTCTGTTTCGTAGGGAACTCACTTCCCAGTGTCCCTCAGTTACAGTCTTAAAATAGTAATTTCATAGACACAGAGTGGAATTTAATTTGAAAAGTTAGAATTGTTTGGGTTCATTCATCCCTTTGGGGATTAGCAAAATACTGGTAATCCTAATAAAAGTGTTGTATACTTGGAACCGTGTCTCAAATGAAGAAACAATACCATTGATTTTGGAATATTTAGTGGGAAATGAAGATGGCTTGAGCCTTTGATAGCACACATACCAAATACGTTATTCTCCAAAACAATGAAACTATGTAGTGTTTTGTTGCATTGCCAGGAACACCGCTAGCATGGTTGTTTTGAAGTCTGGATGGGTGAGGAGCATGTGCTTTTCCATCTTGCTCAAATATTATTCTTCAGAAGTAGATTTTACAGTATTTTTACCTCAGTTATAGGTAAGATATAGGTTCTCTCTGTCAATAATCCACAGCACTAAATTTGTAAGCATCTGGTAATACCACTATTATTTTTGTTTTGACACTTTCCTACCATTTTAATCTTAAGGCAAGTAGGATTTATCTGGTCTGTCCTCTCAGCATAAGCCTTTCCAGAGTCATAGCTGGTTCAGTTCCATTGGCTGAACTAGATTTGTTTTTCACATTACTTACATGCTTTGAGCCTAGAATTCAGCTCCTTTATTAGGGGCAAAACAGTCTGCTTTGATGATCTTCCCCCAGCTGTTGATGTTACTTAAATCAGTTCAGCGGGCTCAGGGGCAGAGCATAGGCCAAAAAGCACAGTCCGGGGTTTGCAGGTCTTGTGTATACATGCTCTTATATTTTTTCTCTGTTGCTCTGATACTTTCTTTCCAGGATGTGGCTTTACAGTTCTCAGCTTGTGACTTCCTGCAGCAAACAAATGGATGGTTTGAAGTCACTATCTTGTGGCAAGGCAGGTTGGGTTTAGCTTAGATTGAAATAGATGTGGATGTGCAAAAACATAATCAGTTTCCTTTATAACATATATCTAAATTTCACCTGTCACTCTCTCTTTGAAGAAACAATTACCTAAGAGTGAACAGGCCTAAAATGGATACATTTCACCCTTTAAATGTGTAAAGCTGCATTTTCTATCAAAAATACATTCAGGATGTCGGCAAACAAGAAGATCAATAATTTGTCTCAGATATAAAGGTGGGAAAGGCTTTCCAAGTTAATTGCAATTTCTCTGCAAGGTGTCAAACTGGTAATAGATTAGATGGTGGCTGGGTTCACAGGGCTTAAAATCAGGTGTCTGTGCTTTTTCAGAGTACTTGTTCCTATTAGTATAAATGAGGAAAACAAGGTGCATGTCTGTGTTGACATTGCTCAGAACTGAACAGATTGTGACTTTGGTCTTTTTTACTAAATCCCCATATGTAATAATGGACATTCGCTCCTTAAAAAACACTTGTATATGGTGGACTGCTCTGTGCTACTTCATACTTTTTTTCTGTGTGTACGTGGGACATGGGAATGGATAAGGATTTAAGAGTTGGCATATGGGTAAGGATGCATGAGGTGATCTTTTTGGTATGCTGAGATGGAATTAATTGTGCATGTGTAATACATCACTATAAAAATGAGAAAGCGTAGAGAATGTTGATGGACTATTGTGGGGAGAATTTAGATAGCAAGACTGTGGTATATACATCCATCTTTAAATGATGGAGCTGAGTTGACCAGAGCCTTGAGGTGAAACTCCCACATTTTCTTTCAAATGACTGCAACAGCAGCCTTCCAATCCGAAATATGGATGCTATTAGAACACAAATTATTACAGTAGAGGAATAATACCTTTTATTGGAACAGAATGTGCCAGTTTAAATGTAGAAAACATTGAAACGAAAGAATCTCCTTTTGCCATCTTTGCATGTGGGTGTCATTCTTTTTAGTATGGGCAAAGTTTCAGAGTCTTTCTGTCAGCCAACTGTTTGCTGTCTCTTCTGAGGTTTGTCAAAATTTCCACTGTGACTGTAGATTTTAATTTTGCTGCAAGTCTCTTGCTTCTCTTAGAAGCCCATTAGTGTTATCGTAGTTTTCCTCCTTCCCATGTTTGTCCAAAAGCCTGGAGGTGTCTCCTGGCTGACCATGTCCAGTTATCCTGAGGGAAGGAGCAGTGCAAGTATCCTCATCCTTGCTGAGGGCAGTGGCAGCAGTTGTCTCATGGTAACCCAGCATTTTTTTTTTTTTAATCCCCCTGAACGTAGTCTATACATTATCTGTGTCCTCACAGTCTGGGGACAGCTATTGTAGAGAGGCATTTGGAAATGAAGTAGAAAACTGCCTGTTAGGGGCATCTTTGGTGATAAGCACTGACTATCCTCCTTTCTCTTGGTGTCCAGAGTTAGAATTACTTCTGGTAAACCAGAAACACCCTTCTGATGGAACAGCCTTGCCCCATGTGATAAGATGTTGCCAAGATAAGGCAGCAGGAATGTACTCTCTTTGGTCCCGTATTTATGTAAGAGGAGTGCCAAGGTGGACTGTTCTGACTTGAGTCTTCAAGAATTTAATATACACACAACCACAGCCTGTGATTGAGGACATCTTGGGAACATCATGAGCATTTTTTTTTGTTTTATTTTTGTTTGTTTTTTGTTTGTTTGTTTTGTTTGTGTGGTGCTTGTTGTTGGTTAAAGTGATTGATGCATTTTAAGTGTATTGTGTTGATGATTTCAGAACATTGGATGCCTCAGGTACATGCACAAACACCTTTAAAGAGTTTTCACTGCAGTGTCCTTCCTAGGCACTGAAGCCAGCTCATATTGCACATTCCTATATGGGAAATGGTTGCAGCTGGTATAAAAAGTATGTTGGAAACACACTTGGAACTACTAATTACTGAGACATGGTGAAAATGGTCTTCGACACTTAAAGATTGAAGGAACTATTTTCTTAAGTGTCAGTAACGTCCTGAAGCTCAGGCTGGAATCAGTTCAATTTGCACAAGCCATTGTTTCTGCAGTGTAACAACATGCAAACATCTCATAAATTGTACTTCATCTGACATTTGCTATTTTGAGTTACAGTTTAATTATCATTATTTCATGATTCTAACTTTAGAATTTGTTTTTCTTCTATGCAAGTTGATATTGGATATATTCCACCTTGAAGAGCTGCTTTCAAATTTCTGTTTTCACTAAGCTGTCTTTCAGTTTACAGCTACCTAATTGGGGTGCCATGATAGGATGTTTGTTTTCCTTGTTTTCTCTCTCTGTAAATGTTAAAGCAACTAACTGATTGCAGCAATGCAGAGTCAGGTACTCAGTTATGTTTTGAGTGAGACTTTCTTTCAAAAAGAAATTTCGCCTTGGAAAAACATACACTGAGAAGCATGGAGGATGTCCCTGAAACTGTGAATGCATGCATAGCTGTGGACTGACCCACAGTGGTAGGAAGTGGCCAGCAAAGTATTAGCATTCTTGGCTTCAAGACAAGACTGATAACAGACTAAGATACTTCTGCATCTTGAAAAACAGAAGAAAATATTTTTGTATCTTAGAGCTGATTTCCTCATCTCAATAGATTGGTTTCTAATGCCTACAACAGTGTAATCCATGGCAATGTAATCTAAAAGTAGTAGAATTCCTAATATATTTTTAAACTGGTTTTGGGGAGCAAGGCTTATTATGT